ACACACACACACACACTCATTAACACACTCACACGCACACACACACAGACACACACCCTGGCTCCCGCTGCTGTCTTGATGAGGACATGTCATCCGTTCCCATTCACTGAAAACAGAACAGCGGGCTGCGCTGATCCAACTGATTATTGGTTGATTATGTGAGATCTCGTCACCATGGAAACTGAGAGCCATTAGCTGGTTTAAATCTCTGCAGATTAATCGGTTTAAAGTCATGTTTTAATTGAACCTATGGCTCTGACTCTGAAATGAATATTTGGGCCAGAATCAGGTCTGAATATTTTCAGGGTTTTATGAATTAGCTGACAACAGCTGATCGTTTCGTTACTGTTTAATTTCATCTGTTGAGGTGTTAGCATGTCAGGACAGACAGCCTTTGATCAGAGGACTCTTGAGATTCTCCCTGAGGCAGACTGCTACTGCAGACAGCAACAGTATCACAACTCTGAGTTACGACAACATTTAATTTTCTTTGAGTTAAATCATCAATAGGAAGCAGTGAAACCATAAAATGTGGCAGGACAACAATAATGACCAAGTTAAAAAAATATAATTTTTATATAATTATATATAATTTACTTAATTTCCCTTTGGGAACAATAAAGTTTTTTTTTAATTTTTAAGTTCTTTTAATTTGTTATGATAATGATAATAATTGTAGTAACAATCAAATAGGTATAACAGCAAATATGAAATTCCGTATGTCAACATGTTTTGTTTTAAGAGTAAAGTAAGAAACATGGAAAGATAATAAAAACTGTGAAACATTAAAGCTTTGAGGAACCAGATTCAGCCTGTCGCTGTGAATCAAAACAGGAACCTGAAAAACATTTTATTCTTTATCTAAAATACATCGAACCAAAGAAAATAATCTGGATTTCTAGGTAGGTTATGAAATGGAGAAAACTACAGCTCCCATAATGCAACAGCACTAAACCCCGCGAATAAAAAATCATTAATGTTTTCAAACCAATCAGTTGACGGGAGGCAATTGACGTCATGCGTTCCTGCTTCTATTTTTAGTGTCTTTTTTCTGAGCCAGTCCACGGCTGGAGGCGCCATCTTGAAAGACGAATTTTGTCGATAAAAACGACTAAAAGGTTAAAAGCAGCAGGATGTTGTATCTGGAGGACTACCTGGAGAGTGAGTACGGGGCTGTCGCTGAGCGGTTGCGGGGTTTTGGAGCTCAATAAACGGCAGATGGGTTGTATTTGGCGGTCGGACCGTTAACGTCCAGTTTTTCTCGTCCCGTAGTGATCGAGCAGCTTCCCATGGACCTCCGCGACAGGTTTACGGAAATGAGGGAGATGGACCTGCAGGTTCAGAGTACGGTCCACAAACCCACACACACGCACACCGTCTCACACACACGGAGCCACTGTGTAACCCTAAGAGAGAACTCGAGTCAAAACAAGGGAGGTTTTAGTTGGCGCTGATACTCAGATTCTGCTTTTAAAACCAGCCAATTTTACAGGCTCTGTAGACCCAGCAGCGCCCCCGACCGACACACACCAGGAACTGCTGCAGTTCCTGGTTTATACTCTAAAGAAACATTTTTATGTATTCCTTGAAAACTCGGTAAGAATAAAATGATATGTCTTCAAAACCGGTCCACCTTTTCAGTGATTTATTACAGAAATTTCAGACTAAACATAAACTCCAGTGTATTTTCTGGAATTTTATGTGATCGAACAACACAACACGGTACGGAACTGTGAAAAATATCACTCTTTTCAAAATTTCTACAGAGAAAATATGAAAAGTGTGGTGTGTGTTTGTATCCACCACAACATGATGTTGCCACCACCTTGTTTGACCTTGGGGAAGGTGTGTTCAGGGTGATGTGTGTGTTGGTTTTCTTCCTCTCAGTGTTTGGATGTAGGTTGAAGAGTAGCAGAGCCTTTTTCTGCTGATGGTGTCTCCTCCATGGCTTCCCTCTTCTGCATTTCTTTCATTGATTATTATGTTCTTAGTAAATTGATTAATGGGTTACACTGGATTTTTCTGCTAAATGGAGTCACTCTGTGTTGCTCTGTTACCTAAAATCACATTAAAAACCAGGAGAATTAAAGAGGAAATTAGAAATAATGAGTCAATGTTTATTCTATTTTCACCAGTTTTTATAAATATTGCCATAAATCTTGTAATGATCTATTTTTAAAGCAAACTGAAAGTATGGGTACGCTCTCTTTAAATGACACGCTTTTCACACAAGTTTTTTAAATCGAGAAAATGCAGCTGGAAGAAACCCAGACAGGACCTGAGCTCCACGCTGTCATAACCTGAGCGGATGTTCTGCTGCCACCAGAGCAGAACCCATAGAACCCGAGTGTGGTTTGTTCAGATTAACACGCTGCAGGTTCCGAGATGTTCTTCTGTTAGGATGGATTCTGTTCTCCCCAATGGATCACCCGGTCCTCCTCACAGCTTCCCTTCCCATTTCAGACGCAACAGACCAGCTGGAGCAGAAGGTCACAGAGTTCTTCATCAACGCCAAGAAGAACAAGCCGGAGTGGAGAGAGGAGCAGATGGAGATCATCAAGAAGGTGGGAGCAACTGGACCCAGAACCTTCCAGATGTTCAGTTCTGGTGAACGTCTGCTGTTCTTCTGTTCAGGATTACTACAAAGCTCTGGAGGACGCTGATGAGAAGGTGCAGCTGGCCAATCAGATTTATGACCTGGTGAGATGTTCCGCTGATCTCCATCAGGGGATATTGGGCCCGGTTCTGACCACCCAGCCCGGTTCTGTCAGTCCATCTCAACTTCCTGTCTCTCCTCAGGTGGACCGGCACCTGAGGAAGCTGGACCAGGAACTGGCCAAGTTCAAGATGGAGCTGGAGGCCGACAACGCCGGCATCACCGAGATCCTGGAGAGACGTGAGTGTTCCCATCTGACCCGTTCTGGTGGTCCATGTTCTGGCGGTCCTGGTCAGCTGACTTGTTCTACTTTTGTCCTCAGGGTCTCTGGAGATGGACAGCCCGTCTCAGCCCGTCAACAACCACCATGTCCACTCCCACAGCAGCTCAGAGAGTGAGTGCAGGCGCCTGCCTGCATTCCGGCTCTGGTTCCGGTTCTGACCGATTCTGTTCTGTTCCAGAGAGGAAGTACACCGCCCCGACCCACCACACCACCGAACACGTTCCAGAGAAGAAGTTCAAGTCTGAAGCTCTTCTGTCCACGCTCACATCGGACGCCTCCAAGGAGAATACTCCAGGTAAGTTCTGTTCACCTCGACTGGACCTGGACCCGGACCCAACCGGACCTGGGGACCTGGGGACCTGGGGACCTGCCCTTGTCCTGACTTTCCCTGTCACCTGCAGGTTGCCGTGCCAACAGCACGTCCTCAACCACCAACAGCGTCTACAGCGCGAACCCGTCCCAGCCGCTGGCGTCCTACAGCCTGTCGCTGCCCGCCGGGCCCGGCGCCGGAGCCGGCGCCATCACCATGGCGGCGGCCCAGGCCGTCCAAGCCACAGCTCAGGTGAGAACATGGCTGCCATGCCGAGCGGTTGTTTTCATCTGTAGAAAACACAAGGAACGATCAGCACCGATGATGACGAATGTTGATTTTACTCAATCCCGGGTCAGACGTGCATTATTGATGCCAACAGCTTGCCATAAGGCTTCCATATTTAACGCTGATGCAGTTTGGACTGTGTCAGAGCGATCAGATCAACGATGGTACATGCTAGCGCAACCTGCACTGAGACCAGAACTTTTACTATGCACCTAGCTTAACCCGTCTGAGCAATCACCGTTAGCTGTTACACATCAACAGACGACACTTAGCCTGGTGAAGGTAGGAGGAGTCTGGCAGCCCGTCAGGCTGATGATCCACAGAGGAAACCTGTTAGCAGTTAGCATTGGGAGGAGGTCAGTGAGTTCACTGGCAGTTTGAATTATATGGAACAACATTTTTCTAAAAGTCAAACTGCAGCCTTAAAAAGCGTCAGGCCCTCAAGTTTAAACTGAAAGCCTTTACTTACATTAAACCCAGTAAAGTCGAGTCTTCCATTGGTTCTGACTGGTTCTGGTTCCCAGATGAAGGAGGGCCGACGGACCTCCAGCCTGAAGGCGAGCTACGAGGCGATCAAGAACAATGACTTCCAGCTGGGTCGGGAGTTCTCTCTGACCCGGGAGAACTCGAGCTACTCTTCATCGGCGCTGGCCTCCACCCTGACCCAGAACCTGACCCCCAGCGCCGCCTCTGACTCCCGCGGACGAAAGTCTAAGTAAGGCCCCACACACCAGGACAAGTCTGACCGGGTCTGACCGGGTCTGACTGGGTCGCCTGTTCTGGTTCCAGGAGCTCCATCAAGTCTTCCAACCACCAATCGTCTTCGTCGTCCTCCTCTTCCTCACTGTCTTCCTGCTCGTCTTCGTCGGCGCTGGCCCAGGAGCTTTCCCAGCAAGCCGCGGTTCTGCCAGAGCCCGATGCCAACAGCCAAGTGGACTGGACCTACGACCCCAACGAGCCGCGATACTGCATCTGCAACCAGGTAGGCTGGCGGCCCGTAGGTTCTGCTCTGGTTCTGCTCTAACTGAATCCATCTGCTCCAGGTTTCCTATGGAGAGATGGTCGGCTGTGACAACACAGATGTGAGTATTCAGATGTTCAGTTGGTTGACCCAGTTGCCTGGCTGGTTCTGACCCGGTTCTGTCCCCAGTGCCCCATTGAGTGGTTCCACTATGGCTGCGTGGGGCTGACCGAGGCACCCAAGGGGAAGTGGTTCTGCCCCCAGTGCACGGCCGCCATGAAGAGGAGGGGCAGCCGCCACAAATAGACCAATCGCAGGTCAGGAGCTGTGACATCATCTGTGGCCAGGGTTCTGCCTCTGCTCTGGTTCTGATCCGATTTCTCTGTCTCTGCAGTTTGGACTGTGTCTCATCAGACTTTGCTCCCTCACTGCAACTAAAAGAACTACAAACTCTACTGGACTACAACTATGGAGGCCTCTGTGGTTCAAATGGACAGTTTCTGAATGTAGTGTGTGTGTGTGTGTGTTAAATAAACTGAGGATGTTTTCTATCTGCTGCTTCTTTTGGTGTCTGATGCTGTGACGGTGGAGCCTGTTCGCGGGGAAACAGCGCCCCCGTGTGGACGGTGCCTTAATGTGAAAAGTTTGAGCGACAGCAGGAGGAAACTGAGTTTATATGAAACCTTTTGAAATTAAAAGCCAGAAATAAAATATTTGACCAGGATCAATAAATGTAAATATTTCCAGAGTAACGGAACCAACCGGTTCTGCAGTTTAGGTCATAAGAACCAAAACCAAAGGTCCGCTTGTCTCTTTAACCAGCCGCTTGTGTTCCCTAAATAACTCCTTCGGGAGGAAGATGATGATGAGGAGGAGGAGCGGGAGGTGCGGGCCTCCTGAATCTGCTGTTGTTTTACAAAGTTCAGAGGAAGAGTGAAACCCGAGCTGCTCCTCCTCCTGCACTAAGTGGAACCAGATGGTGAAGCTCCAGCTTGTTTTCCCCAGACTGCAGCGGCTCCAGCCCGAACCGAACCCGGCCAGCGGAGACCCGGACCTCCTGGATGAAGCTGCTCCTCTTCCTCGCCAGGTGGAGGTGAGGAAGTGAAGCCGCTCCTCATGCGGCGCCTCCTCTTCCTCAGGATGCTGCTGCGGCGGCGCGCTTGCGCTGCCCCGCTGGTTCTGCTGCTCGCGCTGCTTTACTTCTGCTACCAGATCCTGAAGATGGACCGGAACCAGAACCGGAGCGAGTCGGAGGAGACGGACACGAGGAGACTGATCTCGGCTCTGGACGCCCTGCAGGAGGAGACGCAGGTGAGACTCACCTGAACTGCGCCTGCGCACTGATGTGCTCCGAGAGGTCGGTTCTGGAGAACCATCAGAATATCAAGACAACCAAATATTATTAGAAACCGCCAGTGGTACCGGCAGTGGTCCAAACCAGAAGCGATTTCTTAAAAACTAAAGATATAATCAGAGAAAAGTTCAGATTCTTTCTGTTCAAATCATTTGATCAGTTATTGATGACATGATCAGAGACCTGAACTATTTTAGGACCCGGGGCGGGCCGACCCGGGCCGACCCGGGCCGACCCGGGCCGACCCGGACCGACGGTTCCACTCGGTATTTGACCCTGGATAAAAAATATTCCTGAGGGAGGCGTTCCTGGTTCTGGAGCGTTGTCAGAGGTTCGACCCCGGTTCTGCTGCTTCTGAAGCGCTACGGCTCCAGCGGCTTCCTGTACGGACCGGACCAGAACCGGATCAGAACCGGACCGAACAGCAATAGGCTAGATGGATTCTGTGGAATGTCTCAGTTTCACCCTGAATGGAAATCAGAGAATAAAAGTTCAAATATTTATCTGCTGAAAAATTCTACAGCCGGAACACGGTCCAGTCCTCTGAGCTGAACCAGAACCAGAACCGACTGAAGCCAGCTCCTCTTTGTTAGAACTCCCCATATTAACCCTAGTTCTGGTTCTGGAGGCATCTGGGCCCAGCCGTTGATTTCAGGTTGTTGGAGCTGGAGAACTGGACCAGAACCGGAACAGCTTCAAGTTCTGGACCTTCAACCGATCTGTATGTTTCCTCAGGTTCGGTCATCTCAGCGCCGGCGCCTCGCCGTGGTTCTGATGGGTCGCCTGGGCCCGTCAGACCCTGAGGTTGTGCTGCACCAGCAGGTTCTGCAACAGATGGGATATCAGGTCCATTTGACCCGGTTCGCTGAGGCCAGCAGCTTCCTGAGGACGCAGAGTGGTGAGCATACACACACACACACACACACACACACACACACACACACACACACACACACACACACACACACACACACACACACACACACACAGGGTGGAGACTTCCTGTCCAGCAGCTGGAAACAATCAGGCTGGACTCTGTGCTGCTTCTGCTGCTGAGGTTCTGCAGAGAGTCCGGATCCAGGCCTGGAGTCCAGTTCAGTTTATTTCTGTGGCTCCAATTCACAAGGAATCCTCCCAATTTCATCATCCAGTTAATCCCAGTTTGATCAGTTGTTCTAATTGGATTAAAGTTTCATCACTCCTCCTGACCAGCAGGGGGCGCTGCCATTGACTTTACAGCAATTCCTCAAACTCAGCATGCATCAGAACCGGAACTGGAACGGACTGCAGGTTGGAAAAGACAGAGCAGAGCAAACAGAAGGATGTTTATCGTTTATGCAATAAATCCAGAGATTAAAGGAGGAAATCTTGTGGGATTAAATTACATCCTGGTTAAAAGTTTCATCACTGGAGGGTCATTTGATCCCAATCAATAATCGACTGATCAGGTTCTGTTGAGAGGTTCTGATCCAAAAACAAAAACTTCTGTCATCCAGGACTTAACTTCCTATAATCTACTGCAATAATCTGGATCACATAGAAATGTTACCAACACAGAGCCCTGTGGGAACGCTCCACCTGTACTGACTCCTCCCCTCCACCTGTACTGACTCCTCCCCTCCACCTGTACTGACTCCTCCCCTCCACCTGTACTGACTCCTCCCCTCCACCTGTACTGACTCCTCCCCTCCACCTGTACTGACTCCTCCCCTCCACCTGTACTGACTCCTCCCCTCTACCTGTACTGACTCCTCCCCTCCACCTGTACTGACTCCTCTCCTCCACCTGTACTGACTCCTCCCCTCTACCTGTACTGACTCCTCCCCTCCATCTGTACTGACTCCTCCCCTCCACCTGTATTGACTCCTGTCCTCTACCTGTCCCAGGTGTGGGTGGGTGGAGTCTCCTGCTGTGTCTCAGTTCTTCAGAACTGAGCTGCTTGAGGAGGATCAGATTCTCACACCTGCGGCATCAGATGGTGAGACTCACCTGTCCAGGCTGAGTCCTGCTGGATGACATCACAGCTGACCTGTGCATACATGTGTGTGTGTGTGTGTGTGTGTCTGTGTGTGTGTGTGTGCGCAGGTGAACCTGCTACCTGAGCTGATGGAGGCGTTTTCAGATGCAGGTGAAGGTCGCTGTCGCTTCTACCTGAAACTGACAGGTGAGTCTGTTCCAGGTCAAGCAGAGGTCAATTTCAGTGCAGTATTTGACCTTTGACCTTTCTCTAGAAGCTGATTTTCCCATGAGGCGTGTGTCCTGTGGGTCGTCCAATCAGAAGCCTCACTTTCCTCTGGACAGGTGAGCAGGGGCCGTCAGGTGATCCGGGTCTGTGTTTTCCGATTGGACGGTGAAACTTTCCGTTTCCTGTTTCCGGGTCAGACCCGACCACGCCCCCTCTCCTGCTCTGGTTGCCATGGTGAATGTTTTTGTCCTGGTGACCTCCATGACCCCTCTGACATCCTTCCTGCATGACGTCATCGTGGTGAAGACCAGCGAGAACGACCCGGGCCAGCAGTCCCAGGTGAGGCACCGGAACGTCTGGGAGGATCCGGGTCGGTAGAACCTCCTGACCTTTTGACCTCCTGCCCTCCAGATCAGAACCTTCCTGCTGCAGCGGTACGGGCCGGCCTCGGCCCAGCTGGCCCGGGTCCAGGTCCAGAGGGCGGTGGTGGCGGTGCTGCGTGCGGCATCGACCAATCAGGAGCCGGCAGCGGGCGGCAGGTCAGGCACGGTTCTGCCCAGGTTAGCCTCTGCGGATCCTTCCGGTTCTTACTCTGGTTCTGGTTCTGGTTCTGGTTCTGTCCAGCTGTCTGCTGTGCTTCCAGCTGCTCACCTTCACTCTGATGTTCAGCGGCGCCGCCTCTCCTGCTGTGGTCCATGTGAGCTCTGCCGCCCCCTGCTGGTCACGCGGGTTCTAACCCGCAGGTCTCAAAGTCCTGTTGACGGTACCGGCTCAGCACCGGTTCTGTTACGCGGAATGTCCAGCAGGGGTCAGTGTGTCTCTGTCTGTCCAGGTGGAGCTGGGACTCAGCGTCCCGTCTCAGGGTGAGGACGCCTTCAGAGGACAGATCACCAGAGACCGGGTCCTGGAGGACAGCCTGCGCCTGCTGCTGCCGCCGCCCACTCACCTGCAGACTCACCTGCAGACTCACCTGCAGACTCACCTGCAGACTCACCTGCAGACTCACCTGCAGACTCACCTGCAGACTCACCTGTCCTTAGAAACCCTGAGGCAGCAGGTGAGTTAGTGTTACCGTAGCAACGAAAAGCAGGAGGTGTTCAACATGAGGCCCGGGGGCCGTTTGTGGTCCCTGATGATAATTCAGGAATAAATAAAGCAAAATAAAAACGACTTTTCAAGTAAAATCTTTTTACAGAAATGTAAACGTAGTAATGCTGTGGGCTTTCTGTTGCCATGGTAACTCGCTGAGCTGACGCTGAAGTTCAGCTTTAAACTGTAGCAGTAAAACAAACTAAATAAAATGAAACAATTGAAGTTAAAAATAAACTAAATAAAACAAAATAAGTAAAACAGGCTGATGACGGTTTGGCCGGTTTGAACTGCATCCTCTGTTTTCAGTACGGTGGCTGCAGAGGGACACACAGCAGCTGTCTGAACCACGACCACTTCCTGTTCCTGCTGCGCTTCCACCTGCAGCTGCAGACACCGTCAGCCTTCCACCTGGTACACCTGGTTCTGATGGTTCTGGTGGTTCTGGTGGTTCTGGTGGTTCTGGTTGTGTCATGGAGCTCATCTGAATCAGTGTCTCTCTGCAGCTTCATGCCTCCTCTTCCTTCTCGTCTTCCTCATCTTCATCGGCCCCCCCCAGCCAGCTCCTCCTCCTCCTCCTCAGGATCAGTCGGCACCACGACCTGCAGAGCAGCAGGTGAGCCGCCGGAGCTTCCAGCCAATCAGCCGCTTTCTCTTCAGTCACATAACTCACCTGTTCCCCACAGAGAGCCCAAACCTCTGACCAATCAGCAGCCAGCATCCGGGTCACCTGGAGGTGAGAAACATCTGGAGCGACCGGACCGGACCGGACCGGACCGGACCGGACCCGGCCCAACTGCCGGTATCTGGTTGGGTTTTCAATCAGAAATCTGGATCCTCCAAACTGTCCTTTGATTGGCCGGCGTTCTGCCCCCAGGGTCGTGTTCGGACCCCCGGCTGAGGCGGATCTACTCGGAGCCGCCCCTCAGCCTGACTCCGCCCTTTAACCCCGCCCTGAAGGAGTACCGGGCCGAGGTTCCCTTCGACACCGTGACGGTTCGGATCCGACCGGAACCGATCAGCGAGGCCTGCGTCGTGCGCCTGGACAACCGCCGAGGACCCAGGTTAGCCCCCCCCCCCTGCCGGCTCCTGACCTCTGACCTCACGGTTCTGACCCGCTTTCCTTCTCAGGACGGCCAACTTCCCTGTCGGCATGGGAACCAGCCAGATCAGCGTCCTGGTGACGAACGGGGCGGAGCCTCGTCCCGTCGTCATGACGACCTACACCATCCACGTCTACCGCGAGAGCCGACCCGGCCTGCCGGCGTTCGGAGACCACGTGACCTGCGGCTTCCTGCAGGTGGGCCAGGGGTCGGGGGTCACAGAACCGCAGAGTCGGGTTCCAAAATCAGAAACCAGGGAGCGAAACCGATCGTCCATCGGGTCGATCTCTGCCGGGATTGGCTGCTCGTTTTGGTCTAAAATCTGTTCCTGCCGCGGGGTCAGAGGTCAGCGGCTCCGTCTGGAATATTCCCAGCAGTAGGGGTGGTCCAACAGCGGATCAGAACCGGCGGATCAGAACCGGCGGATCAGAACCGGCGGATCAGAACCGGCGGATCAGAACCGGCGGATCAGAACCGGCGGATCAGAACCGGCGTCTTGTTGTTGGGTTATTAGTTTAGCCTTCTGACGTGACGCTCAACCTGCCGACTGGATCCGGACGTCTTTAGCTCCGTGGAGACGACCTTCACCCCGAGGTCGTTCTCCGCCCCAAACGGCCCGGTTCCCTCAGAGCGCTGAAGCTTCACTACAGGAAACGGGTCACCAGCTGCAGGCAGGAAGGGAACTGATCGGCAATCACTTTATCACTGAAATCGGCGCCGATCATGATCGGCACCGATCGGAACGCCTTTGTCAGAACTGATAAAAGTTCACTGCAAAAAAAACTCAAATTTTCTGTTTTGATCAAATCCAGCAGAAAAATAATCCTAATGCTGATTATTCCGTCATAAAAACTTTCCATGGAAACCCGGATCATCCAGAACCAGAAGCTCAGAATAATCCAGAACCTTCATCCTCCTCTTCTTCCTCCTGTTCTCAGTCAGAAACGGTGGGGGGTCCAGATCCCCCAGTGACCTCTGACCTCTCTCAGTCCATCAGATCAGGAACAGGTGAGGCTTCCTGTCTGGAGCTGCAGCTTCACGGTTCGGTCAGCAGGGGGAGCCAGAGCCCGGAAATACACAGTTTGAAATGAGTCGGACCGGAACCAGAACTAAAACCGGGTCAGTCCAGAGGAGCTTTGGTCCTAATTGTGTTCAGAATGAGAATGACTGAAACTGGACCAGAACGAGCCATAGTGGGTCCAATCAGAACCGCTTCCCGTTTTAAGACATACAATTTAAAGTTCTGGAGAAAAGAACCGGACCAGAACCAGGTTCTGCTGGGAATGTTGGATTCTGATCCAAACAGACAAGGTCATCTTCCAGAACCTCTTCTCCAGTGAGTCACTGAGAATCCTTCAGGCCCGGTTCTGGAGGTTCTGTCAGGTTAGTTCTATAGAACCTCTTTCACACCGACCCAGTAGTTATCTACCAGCTTCTGGGTCAGAACCGAGGTCCATAATGTGCTTGATGCATCCCAGCTGATGACGGGGTTCTGTTCCACAGGGCGGCCCGGTTCTGGTTCTGTTATGCATTTTCACCTTCTTTTCCAATCTTGCCAGTTCCATTTGCCAGAACCGGTTTTGCTAACCAGAACCATCTGAGGCCTTTGGACCCGGCAGGAATTTCTCTGCAAATTTGCAACTGAGACGAAGCAGAACCAGCGCCGAACGCTGCAGCCCGGTCCAAAAGCAACCCTGAGCTCCTGTCTGCAGGCGGATCAGCAGAACGGACCCGGCGGCCCGCCCCGCACCGATTCCCAGAAAAACAGAGCCATGATCTGATGAGGGCAGATCCGGATTATCCGGGTCCGGAGCTTTGATCACGGCGCGGGACGGTGAATGTTTCTGTCGGGCCGGACGGATCCAGTCCAACAGAACAGAAACAGTTTTCACTTTGACTCCGTCAGGAACACAAAAACATTTGGCCGATTTTATCTGCAGTCGGTCCTTCAGCTTCCCAGGGTCCGGGACCAGAACCGGATCAGGGACCAGAACCGGATCAGGGACCAGAACCGGATCAGGGACCAGAACCAAATCAGGGACCAGAACCGGATCAGGGACCAGAACTGCTGCGCTGCACAAACCGGACCTTCCACTTCCCACAGCTTCTACAAAGATGTTCCTCATTGGTCCAGTTGATGAAAGTTTCCAGGAACTCTTCAGTTCCCAACTTGAAATGAATCCAAAGTCCTCTAGTCGGTTCCCAGGTCCTTCAGTAATCAAACCTATCGATCAGCTTCAGTAATCAAACCTATCGATCAGCTTCAGTAATCAAACCTATCGATCAGCTTCAGTAATCAAACCTATCGATCAGCTTCAGTAATCAAACCTATCGATCAGCTTCAGTAATCAAAGCTATCGATCAGCCCTGGTTTCTCTTGAATAAATGATTCATAGATTCATTCAGACGAATCGTTTAGTCTTTATTTCCATGTTGTGATGTTTTCACATCTTTATTTGATTGTCTTTATTTTGTGTTGGCTTATTGTCTGAGGATAAATCGGTTCAGTTTCATCGTTTAAACTCTCAAATATCAAAGTTCAGATAGTTTCTGTGGCTGCAGGTCAAAATTGATAACTTTTGACCTGCAGCCACAGAAACTATCTGAACTTTTTCACCGCACCTTCATTTTCATCCATGCTGTTCTGCGTGAAATATGGCGCCGCTTTATAAACGAGGCCCAGAACCGGTCCAAACCAGAGCCTGGAGAACCAGCAGCTCTCCTCCAGGTTTCAGAAATATTCCTCCAGAACCTTCTGGTTCTGTAGTTTCCAGTCCTCATCAGAACATTTCCCCTCTGACTGTCATTCCTGTTTTCCTCCGTTTCTGGGTCGGATTTGGATCAAATCCAAGAACATTCCTGAACTCCCAAGTGTTTGTTGGGAAAATTTCTGAATTTTAGGCAACTTTATTAAAATATTTTGGTCTTTTTTTAATCTTGGAAATTCCTCCTGTGAGGAATAAATTCCTGTTTTGACTGAAACAGACGTTTCGGTCTGAATAAATCCGATTCAGACTGAACCGTATGGATTCTGGTTCTGTGGCTCGTAAAGCTGCAGCCAGTGGAACCAGAACCACTGACTGGATGAAAGGCTCGCCGGCCCGGCCCGGCCCGGCCCGGTTCGAGCGTTTACTCTGAGCTCAGGTACGAACAAGAAAATCCCTGTTAAGTTTTCTTGTCACACTTTGTTGCGAGCTGCGGCGCCGGCGTGCGGAATGTGGCGCCGCCACGAAGAACTGCGGCGGCGGAGGAAGAAGAAGAGCCGCGTCTGTGAAGCCGGCAGCAGACGGGGAGGTTTATCTGACCTCTGACCCCTAGGCTGGATGAAAGCTTCGATGCTGCAGAAACAAACCAGTGCATGCTGGGTAATGTATGCAGCGTGAAGGGCTCCCTAACTCCTCTCCCTGTTGCAGGACTGTGGCATGCGGGTCCACCGGGTCGGTCCTGCGGGCTCCAGCCTTACCTCCCGGCCCAGAGTCCTGTCCAGCCCTGCAGCTCAGGACACGTCCCAGGTAGGGTCTCCGCCGTCCGTAGGGTCGCTCCTCAATATGGGAAAGACCAGAGAACACACAGCTACGCGCTGAAGAGCCGATCCAGTCGGAGGGAGGGAGGCTGGAGCAGGTCTCTCCTGGTCTCTATAGCAACCGTTAGACCCGAAAGGTCTTACCCGTCCCGGTTAGACTCCCTCGGTACCGGCGGCTCACCCGGGTCCGTCTCTCACCTGTCCGTCAGGTCGCTGGGTCGTCCCCTGCCTCAGCTGCTCTGACAACAGGACCTGTGATTGGAGGGAGGTCACCTGGCAGCCGGACGGCTGCTACCACCCGCCGGTGCGGCGCCCCCTGCTGCAGGACTGCATGGCGGGCAGGAAGGTGAGGTCACGTGACCGGGCGCCGGGCGCCGTCAGCGCCGCCAGCTGATCGGCCGGTCTCTGCTAGGTGATGTTCATCGGAGACTCCACCAACCGCGGGATGATGTTCTTCCTGATGGAGCGTCAACGGCAGCCTGCAGGACTGGGGCAGAGCTCACCACACGCTGCTGTACCGCAACCTGAACCAGCGCCGCACGCAGGTCAGCTACTCCTACTACCCCCGCTTCTGGCTGGAGGGCAGCCAGAGGCCCAGCTTCAGGCAGGCCCTGCTGCAGCTCATCAACAGGTGACAGACAGGAAGTGGGCCGCGGCGCTTCCCGCCGCGTTCCTCGGCTGAGCCTCTGTTTCTGCGAAGGTCTCGGCCGCTGGAGAACTCGGAGCGGACGGTGCTGGTGGTGGGCGGAGTCCAGTGGCTCAACGGCGACCACCTGAGGACGGTGCAGGACGTGTTGGACAGGTAAACGCACACCGACGCCACAGGTGTTCTCAGAATGCAGAGGCCCTGACGGCGGTCCCTGAGGAACTCCTCTGTCCCATCAGGGAGTCTCTGAGCGACGTCCTGGTGGTGGTGAAGTCTCTGGGGATGGGCTTCCACCTCCCTGTAGACGGCATCCGCTCTCTGAGCCTGGTAAGTTCCCTGTCGAGGGAAATGTCCGGCGCGGCGTTTGTCTCTGACGGCGTTTCTCTCTGACGGCGTTTCTCTCTGACGGCGTTTCTCTCTGACGGCGTTTCTCTCTGACGGCGTTTGTCTCTGACGGCGTTTCTCTCTGACGGCGTTTCTCTCTGACGGCGTTTCTCTCTGACGGCGTTTGTCTCTGACGGCGTTTCTCTCTGACGGCGTTTGTCTCTGACGGCGTTTCCCTCTGACGGCGTTTCTCTCTGACGGCGTTTCCGTGCAGACGGAGATCCGAGGCCTGTTCAGAGACAACGCCGAGCTGATCTCCACGGCGACACGGCTGCGCTTCGAGGCCGTGGACACCTTCAGCATCACCGCGGGCCGATACAAGGAGTTCCTGCAGGGCCGCTGCGCCTGCCACTTCCATGAGGTAAAGCAACGTCGCCGTCCGGGGATTCGGGTTCAGAACCGGGCCGGACGGTTCCAGGAACCTGCCAGACGCCTTCCTGTTCCTCAACTTCTACCAACCAAAACACTTCCTGTTAGCAGCACAGCTAACTTCCTGTTAGCAGCACAGCTAACAGGAAGTGTTTTGGGTGTCCTGGTCTCCTGTTCATCCGGACAGTCCGGATCCTGGAAAACAGAGAAGATCCAGGTCCCCAACAAAGTTTCTGGTTCCTGAAACAACAGATTCTTTTTGTCACAGGAAGTTCCAATGATCCGGTTCTAAAACAAAGAAACCGGATCACTGGATCCGGTTCAGAGGATCTGTTCCAAAGATCCTGGCAAAGTGCTGCAGGTTTTCCGGCTGATCCGTCTTTTCTCCTTCCAGGTGGAGAAGCTCCGATCCTCCGACCCTGCAGACAGCGAGGCGTCACCAGGAAAACGCCCGGAACCAGGACCGGCAGCCATTCCGTGCTTGACATGGAACAGGAAGTCGGGTCGAAGGCCCCGACCTTTCGGGTTCGGGGAGCGGTGAACCAGGTGTACTCCGAGATCCTGCTGAGCCGCTTGTGTCCCAGGAACAGGTGAGACTCAGCTGTCCCCTCCGGGTCAGCACCGCTGGGTCCTGCCGGGTCCTGCCGGGTCAGCGGTCACTTCACTGATGTTCTGGGATGAACATGGAAGTCCAACTGACTGGGAAGGGAAGCATATCTGGAAATACTTCTGGTTTGATGAAGAGGATGCAGAAAAATCCCCAATAATCTGAGAAACTGAAAATATTCCAAGAAACTTTATTTCATTAAAACTTCGTCTGGTGGAAGTTTTACATTCCCAGAAGTTCCCAAGAGTTTCGTTCCCTACAAGATTCAACAAAAACTTTTCCCAGATTTTCCAAAAAAAATGTTTTTCCATCCAGGATTCAGAATTCCAGACTTTTCAGGTTTTCCAGGCATTTAGCAGATTCTGCTGCTGGTTCTGCTGCTGGTTCTGCTGCGGCCCGGGTTTAACCTGCAGGAACATCGGACCTATCCGGGTCGCTGCAAAAGGATTTGTGGTAGAATCAGATTCTTCATCTGCTGGGAATAAATCTTTTCCTTCCTCGCTCTGACCCGGAACCCGACCCGGAACCCGACCCGGAGTTCTGGAACCGGTTATGTTTTGTCAAATTCACCAAAACTCTCAGCCAGGTTCTTATGGTTCCTGGTTCCATCCAGCATGGACTTAGAACTCTGGGATTTGGACCGCCGGTTCTGAAGGTCTCCAGCTGCTTCCGGAACCAACAGCGACTCCGGGTCCAAATAAAGATGCGACGGACATGTGACATGTCTGGTTGTGGTCGGATTGGACCTTATGGTTCCGTTTTATTTTTCTACAGATGATTCTGCTGCTCGGCGGTCCGGTTCTGTTCTGCCCGCCTCCGGTTCCGGTTCTGTTCATGGGTCTGAGTTTCCTCTGCTGCTAATAAAGTTTTTATTCTCTTTTTTCTTTTGTAGTTTCTCAATTTATTTAATCAGAACCGAAACGGTCCAGTTTCTACAGACTCGGTTCGGTCCAAACCAGGGGTACTTTCTATGAGGTCAGGGTTTCCATGGTTACCAGAACCTCCTGGTTCTGGAGAACCGGGTCGTTTTCCTGCTCCGCAGCTTCAGATTCAGCCTCTGACGTCACGCCGATGCTGGTCCAATCAGCAGCGTCCTGGACCGGGTCTGGGTCCGGTCCGCCGCGCCTCGTCCCGCAGAGGGAAGCGGCGGCGGAACCGGGATGATCCGCAGAACCGGGCGGTTCTGGTGAGGGATGGAGACCCGGAGTTCTGGAGTCCGACCCATGTTCGCTCTGGTTCTGCTGCTGGTCTGGGTCAGTCCGCCGAGCTGCCGGGCCAGCTGGATGTGAGTACCGAACCGGACTCTGTCAGAACTTTGCAGCAGCAGAACCCGGTCTGAGGTCCAGTTTTATCTAAGTAACCAGAACCAGAACCGCTACTGGGTTCGGTTCCACCTGTCCGGATGGGTCAGGCTGAGCCCATCTCTGGTTCCGAGTGATTCTGGTCCCCGACCAGACCGACCTGTTCGGATCCAGATGGGTTTGTGCATGCTCCGAACCGGACTTTTAGCTGAACCGGTTCGGACTTTTAGCTGAACCGGTTCGGATGGGGAACAGAACCGAGGTTCCGATCAGATCCACTGTCTGTTTGTTTACAAGGTTCTGATCTTCTGGACCGGGTCGGTGAGTTTCAGCTCAACAGATGCTGTCACAGAAATGGTTCCGTTGCTCAGAACCCGTCCGGACCGAGCCCGGTTCTAACTGCCGCTCCGTCCACAGGTGGCTGGGCGCGACGTCCGGCGGCCCGGAGCGGCTGAGCTCGGCGACGCGGCGCTGAGCGGCCGGCAGCGCGCCGTGTGCCGCGCGGCGCCGCTGCTGCGCGCGCGGCGTGCGCGACGGAGCGCGGCTGGCCGTGGCGGAGTGTCAGAACCGGTTCCGACTGGAGCGCTGGAACTGCTCCACGACCCGGAACCCCGCGGCGCCGTTCGGCCACGAAATGACGAGTGGTGAGTTCTGCTGCGGTTCGGCGGCTCCTAACTGGACTCTGTGTTCGAGTTCTGGTTCCAGGCGGGTAGACCCAACATCCAGAACCAAAAGTTCTACAGGATGTTTGCCCGCTCCCGTCTAGTTAAAGTTCTGCTGGTTCCGACGCGCAGCAGAGTTTAAACTAAATATTTAGTTCTGGTTCTGATGGGTCCACGTGGTACCGAACCAGCAGCTGCATCAAGTTCTGGACAAGTTCCGCAGGTCTGCCCCCCAGCGGCCAAACGGAGGAGCTGCATGTTGTTTTATCCTGGATTAAATGGATTTAATCAGATTAAATCTCTGACTTTTTGTTTCATGAGTCCCAGTCCAGACAGAAGGGTCAAAGGTTACCTGGAACTGTGACTGGTAGGGATCATGTTTCCTTTGGTTGCAGAGGAAGTGATGTCACAATGTCTGTCCCGCAGGAACCAAGGAGACGGCGTTCACGCGGTGATGGCGGCGGGTCTGGTCCACTCCGTCACCCGGGCCTGTAGCCAGGGCAACATGACGGAGTGCGGCGACGCCCGGCTGCGCGGCGCCCGGCTGCGCGGCGGCGGCGGCGCGGCGGCGGCGCAGGGCTGGCAGTGGGGCGGCTGCTCCGACAACGGCTTCGGAACCTGGTTCAGCCGGAGGTTCATGGACGTCTCGGAGAAGAACTCGTCAACGGGCCGGGACGGGTTCACGCTCAGCACCATGAACCGGCACAACGCCGAAGCCGGACGGCAGGTGAGGACATGCTGACCTCTGACCTCTGTAGACCCCGAGAACCAGTCGGAGCGGGTCCGGTTTACAGGATCAGGGAGGAACCGGGCGGCAGCTGCTCAGAATGTTCCTTTAAGTTTTTTCCACCAAGGTGGGTGAAGATCCGTTTTCCAGAACCAGAACCGGTTTGGAGTTTCTTCCAGGAAGCGGTTTTCCTCCACCATCTCCAGACAGCAGCAGGAACATTTTCAGAGCCGGAGATCCAGCAACGTTCTTCATTCCACAACTTTAATACCGGACCTGTGGAAGAACCGGCCCGTCCTGACCCGGATTCCTGACCCGGATTCCTGACCCGGATTCAGAATCTCTATCCGCCTGCTGGGGCTGAACTGGCTCTGCACCAGCAGCTGCTTCTGTTCTCCACTGGGAGATGAAACCTGGATTTTGGATTAGGAGACGGGTCACAGCAGCCACCTGGTCCAGATGTCCAATCGGGTCACGCCACAGAACCACGTTCAGGGGCGCCGCCAGGAATCCTGGGCCCCATGACAAAACATCAGATGGGCCCCATGCAGCTGCAGTTTGTGGGCTGAATCTGCCTCATGAAAAGCGTCGCAGTTTGAAAGTTTTGCTTCTTTGGTCCATTAATGATACCAGACAATATTTACTGCTCATGAATTTCACATCCAACGGTTTGCAAGTAGGCTGCTGAAATGTTTTAGATACTGAAATGTGTCCCACCAGCAACAGTTACAGGCAACCTGCAAAATGCACATGAAGGAATCCAGACCTCTGAAGAAATGCTGAGCTGCACTTTATCACTGATAAAACATGTTTTTATTAGTTATAATTAGTTTATTATTAAAGCTGGCAGCATGTCAGATAATCTGTGAAAACAATCAGTCTCCTCCACCTGAGCTGCTATTACTGGCTAATGCAACAATCCCACCAAAACAACCAATCAGAACCAGGAGGAGGGTCTTAGCGCTGTCAATCAACTCGTTCACTCACTGCTAAATGTGCTAAAGGTGGAGAAACAACTTATTACAGGAAAAATGTTTATCTGGAGCTTTGCTAAGTAGATTGAGCATTCACAACAGGCTATGCTAGCTGCAGCATAGGGATGAGCAGCCACATGAGATGGTGATTGGCAGCACTAAAACTCTCCTGACTGTGATTGGTTGTTTCTGGGAAAAAGCAGAGGAAAGAGATGTTTCACAGATTATTTCTATACCAAACTGTCACAACATGAGTCTGCAGACTGACCGTTTCGGCGGCCAGTCTGCTGCTGAATGCCTGCAACTCCAAGCAGGAAGGAACAGTTTCCTGCAGATCCAGGAGTTTCGGGTGAAATGTGAAACGTTACATTTTTACTGAAAAAAACAATCTTAGAAAACACAATATGATTAATTTTGTAATCGACAGAACCCCAATTTTTGTTTTTTTAATTTCTATGAACAATAAATAAATGCTGGAGGCCCTTCCGGTCAGGGGCCTGTGGACGTGTCCCAAGGTTTCTCCGGCGCCTCTGACCTCGCTTCATCAAGCCTTGATACCGGACGGCTCGTCTGCAAGTGAAAGGCCAGACCTCACCTTACATCACAGGAAGCAGGACTGTTTGGATCTCCAGGTTCTGCTCTCAGTTCTGCATCAGCTTCTCCAGTCCAGATCCAAACCTCAACTTGTCCTGTAAAGTGACGTCCTGAAACCCTGAATCTGCTCTACAGGATCATCCATCTGAGTAGCTGCTGGTTGGTAGAACTCCTCCCTGATCCTCCAGAACGTCCGGTGCAGGTCCGGCTGTCAGTCGGGTTCTGACTGTCTCCTTCCCCAGCTGGAACCTGTCTCCAGCCCAGTGTCTCTGTCTTCCTGCAGGCCATCCAGGTGACCATGTCCACAGACTGTCGCTGCCACGGCATTTCTGGCTCCTGCGCAGTGAAGACCTGCTGGAGGTCCGTGGCGCCGTTCCAGCGTGTCGGCGCCTACCTGAAGGAGCGATACGAGCGCAGCGTCCAGGTGTCGGACCGTGCCAGGAGGAAGACCAGAAAAAAGGACCAGCGCCACCCTGTGGACATTAATGAACTCATCTACCTGAACAAGTCTCCAAACTACTGCCTGGAGGACAGGCGGCGTGGCATCGCTGGCACCAGGGGGCGCCGCTGCAACCGGACCTCCGCCGGCCCGGATGGCTGCAACCTGCTTTGCTGCGGCAGAGGCTACAACACTCATGTGGTGAGGAACATCCAGCGCTGCGAGTGCAAGTTTGTCTGGTGCTGCTACGTCCACTGCAGGCGCTGCGAGAGCATGAACGACATGCACACCTGTAAATAAGGCCACGCCCAGAAAGGATCGCACACCTGGAGCGGGAAGAGAAGACAGTCCTGTGTGGATGGAGGTTCTGATCAGATCAGGATCTGATTGGATGAAACAGCTGCAGGTCACTGCAGGTCACAACTCGACTTGGAGCCTGGAAACACCCTGGAAACACCCTGGAATCAGCCTGGAAACACCCTGGAATCAGCCTGGAAACACCCTGGAATCAGCCTGGAAACCCTGGAAACACCCTGGAATCAGCCTGGAAACAACCTGGAAACACCCTGGAAACACCCTGGAATCAGCCTGGAATCAGCCTGGAAACACCCTGGAATCAGCCTGGAAACACCCTGGAATCAGCCTGGAAACACCCTGGAATCAGCCTGGAAACACCCTGGAATCAGCCTGGAAACACCCTGGAATCAGCCTGGAAACAACCTGGAAACACCCTGGAATCAGCCTGGAAACACCCTGGAAACAGCCTGGAAACACCCTGGAATCAGCCTGGAAACAACCTGGAAACACCCTGGAATCAGCCTGGAAACACCCTGGAATCAGCCTGGAAACAGCCTGGAATCAGCCTGGAAACACCCTGGAAACACCCTGGAATCAGCCTGGAAACAACCTGGAAACAACCTGGAAACACCCTGGAATCAGCCTGGAATCAGCCTGGAAACACCCTGGAATCAGCCTGGAAACACCCTGGAATCAGCCTGGAAACACCCTGGAATCAGCCTGGAAACACCCTGGAATCAGCCTGGAAACACCCTGGAATCAGCCTGGAAACAACCTGGAAACACCCTGGAATCAGCCTGGAAACACCCTGGAAACAGCCTGGAAACACCCTGGAATCAGCCTGGAAACAACCTGGAAACACCCTGGAATCAGCCTGGAAACACCCTGGAATCAGCCTGGAAACAGCCTGGAATCAGCCTGGAAACACCCTGGAATCAGCCTGGAAACAACCTGGAAACACCCTGGAATCAGCCTGGAAACACCCTGGAATCAGCCTGGAATCAGCCTGGAAACACCCTGGAAACAGCCTCCAGACAGGACTTGGTCTTCCTCCAGATCTTCTCTGCGGGACGTTTCCACCTGGAGAAACCGAGACCCAACATGGACACTTTTTTATTTTGCAGCTGATTTAGTAGAACCTTTAAAACCAGAGATGTTCCGAGACGAGTTCAACGTTCGACTGAGAACTTGCTGAAGCCAGATAATGAGAACCAGCAGAACCAGACAGAACCAGACAGAACCAGCAGAACCAGACAGAACCAGCAGAACCAGGCAGAACCAGACAGAACCAGACAGAACCAAACAGAACCAGGCAGAACCTTCTACCTGGTTCTGAGTACTAAAGAGTACTCGGTACTAATACGGGTCCGGGTCCTTGTTTCTCCTTCAGATGTCGTTCATGTTGGAGGTTAAAGGTCACAGTGTGCCCCACAATCTGGCTTCTGTTCCCGCCCTTTTACGGACTTCGGCGAAGTGCATTACCCACAATCCATTGCTGCATGTGATGTTTTGAGTTAAGAGGCGGGTTTATGGAAATGTTCTGTTTTTCTACGAGTTTATAGAAAATTCAAAGCAAATATGAGAATCACATTAGTATGAAAAAGTTTGAAAAACTGAAGAGAAACAAAGAAATGAAAATAATCAAAATAACAGGAAAGGAAAACAAAATGAAAGACAAATTTCTAATCTTAAGATATGAACATATTGCAATAAAGATGCTGCAACTTTTAAGCTCTCAAAATAATTTCCCTGTTATTTGTTCAGAAAGCAATACTTCTAATATCAGTAAATATAATTCATCCTCGTCTTCTGGTAGAAGGTCCAGTTTTATCCAATTAAAACTTATTCATGGAAAAGATTTATTGTCCAATGATCACTTTTGAAAACTTTCTAAAAACTTTAATGAAGTCGCAATTAAAAATGTAAAGTTTGTCTCAAAATCTCATCACAAAATGCAGGAATTGATATTTATTTTGAATTTCTTTTGCAGAAAGTCATTTCATAGAAACCTTCATACATAAATATAACATTTATGTATTTATAACATTTATGTTTCTGTGGAGTAAGAAGCTGTTTGGTTTTATTATGATTTTCAAACAATTGTTTTCCTCTCAGACTAGAGGAGGAAACTGATGGATTTATTGGTACATTTTTGGTTTATAAAGTCTCAACATTCATAATTTCTTTTTTAAAAGACGTTTTAGTTCCATTAGTCTTTTTATTTTTCACATGTAGCATCAGGCCTTTATTTTTAATTTTCTAAATAAGCCGTATGTTTGTGCTGAACTTGATCTGTTATTATTTCCACTTTATACCAAACTAACTTTCAGAAGCTTCTATGGATAAAATCATGTCTCTGTTGGTCAAATAAACTGATCAATTGATTATTAGAACAGTTTTTGTGCATTTTTTACCATCTTGGAAATATAAGATAAGTTCACAGAGCGATCTCTGTCGCAAAAAATAGAATAAAATCCGTTTTCAAAAGTAAATAATTGAAATCATTTTTTGGGCAGAACATGAAGGATTATTTAGAGTTTTCTGTATTCAACCAACAAATATAGAAATATCTTCACTGTACCTTTAAAATAATCTGGTTTGTTGTGGTTTTAGCAGCATGAAGTCTGAACAGGGACCAGTCGGCCATTTTGGATGTGAAGTTCCACCCCTGACCCTTGACCCCTGACCCCTGATGTGACTCTGACTGAGTCCACTCTTCATAGAGGCGCTGAGCTTTGGACCGGGCCAGAATGTCCTGAAGGTGACTCCAGGCTCTTCTTGGTTTTCTGCAGTTTCCAGATATTTTGGGGTTTCTTAGCGCCACCTAGAGCCTGGAGCTGCTGCGGTATCGCAGCACTTTGAGGTATCGGTCCAGATCCAGGTGAGCTCAGTGTTACCTGGGGCAGGAGGGAAGAACCTGCACATTTTGTCAATGAACTTTATTTCTACTTCCTGCTTGTTCTGGTTTGTTCAGACGTCGTGGCGGGCCGGTCCGACCTGAGGGTGTGAAGCTGGGGTCAGAGGTCAAGCTGCAGCAATGTCTGCTCTGGTCCTGCAGAACCAGATCCAAGCAGCTAGAATGAGTCTTTAGCTGGACGGTGGGATGGGACGGTGTGTCCTCAGTGGGACGGTGTGTCCTCAGTGGGACGGCGTGTCCTCAGTGGGACGGCTTGTCCTCAGTGGGACGGTGTCCTCAGTGGGACGGCGTGTCCTCAGTGGGACGGCGTGTCCTCAGTGGGACGGCGTGTCCTCAGTGGGACGGTGTGTCCTCAGTGGGACGGTGTGTCCTCAGTGGGACGGTGTGTCCTCAGTGGGACGGCGTGTCCTCAGTGGGACGGCGTGTCCTCAGTGGGACGGCTTGTCCTCAGTGGGACGGCGTGTCCTCAGTGGGACGGCGTGTCCTCAGTGGGACGGCGTGTCCTCGTGTCCTGAGTCAGCAGGAAGACGGTTATCAGCTGTTGTTGATGATGGAGCAGAAAGTTTCAGGAAAACAGGATTTCCTGTTGGACTGAGGCCCAACATGAGGCTCCTGGAGGCAGGCAGGTCCTGAACACTCACTGCAGGGTCAAAGTTCATCCCTGGACCCAGAACAGAGAGGAAACAAGACAGACAGGAGGTCTCACTCTGACACATACTGTGAGTCTGGATTTCAACCTTCATCCAGAGAAGCAAATCATCAGAGCAACCAGAATGAGTTTGGTCTGAAACTGAAAGCCAGCAGGAAGTTCCTGTGTTGTTTAAAGATGCAGAATGATCCCACTTCCTGTGGGGGTTTGTGTCTAAAGCTGCAGCTCAGCACTTTTCCCTGAAGGTTGGTGTTCAGGAAGCAGGAGGAGGAGGAAGCCCTGACAGAGCCGCTCAGACCGAGTCGGACTGCAGACCGGGTCAGAACCACAAGAGATGGAGGTCCTGCTGAGTGTCCAGCTGCTGGTTCTGATGATGACGCCGGCCGCCTTGCAGCAGGTAAGATCACCAGGAGAGCTGCAGGTTTTCTGATGGGAGCCTGAACTCAGCTGGATCCAGTGGATCTCAGTGGATCCAGTGGATCTCAGTGGATCCAGTGGATCTCAGTGGATCCAGTGGATCGGCTTTAATTTGCTGCTGATGTCTCTAGATGGAATGGTTCACTGATCTTCTGCTGCCTCCAAACATCTTCAAATCTGAGATTCATGAAATGATTTTCATCATGAAAAAAAATGTCTCTTCAGCATCTCGTCTGGTTCTTCTTGAGCCCGGTACCGACCCACTGCTGCCGCTGAGGAACCAGACCAGATGGTGGTTCTGATTTCTGATAGCCTGAGCTTCATGTTCTGGTCCAACCTGAAACAAACAGAACAGCCTAGTCAAAGGCCGGGATTCACCTTGACTGAAATGCTGTCTGGGTCTTCAGAGATCTGAACAGAACCTCGAAGGACTGCTGGGGGTTCTGGGCAGTCCAGTTGGACCCATTTGGTCCCGTTTCTGACCCTGGCAGTGTGAGATGGAGGTTCTGGGCGGATCCGATCCAGAAGATAAGCAGAAGTTAGAGCTTCCAGCTCCCAAGATGCCCAGTTTGTGTCATGGTGAGGATCAGTAAACCCATCGGGCCTTCTGAACAGAACCCATCGGGCCTTCTGAACAGAACCGTGCTAGCTGCTTCCTGTTGTTAATCTGTTTGGATGTTTGTGTGGCAGAAGGAGCCAGACGGCGTTTTTCCTCCAGAGCAGCTGAAGAATCCCTCATTCCTGCTCCTTCCTGTTCCTCCTGGGGTTCTGAACAGGTTCTGATAGAGGTTCTGTTTGTTTCTCCAGAACTTCTGCTCCAACTCCACAGTGCTGAGGACGCAGACGGCCTGCCACTCCTGCTCCATCTCCATGTTTGTTCATTGTCCCTCTGGATTCAGGAAAAGTCCAGGAAGCCTGACGTCCGGCTGCAAGTGAGCTGAACCTGATCGGTTCTGGTCTGAACCGGTTCTGCTGACCCACGTTGTTCATCGTGTGGGTTCTGTGCAGGTACCAGATCCGGACCAGCAGCCTGCAGCTGTCCGTCAGCGGCTGCTCCTTCCAGTGCTTCCAGCAGGTGGATGTGAAGAGCTGCTGCCCCGGTTACTGGGGTCCGGACTGCATGGGTCAGTACTGATCTGCTCCGACATTATTCTGCAGGAAACTGGGTCAGTTCAGAATCTCTAGAGAGCTTTAATGGTCGGCCAGAATCAGCAGA